TCGATGGTTTGCTTCTTGGATTTACGTACTCTACTATTGAAGCTGTGTAAATTATTTTTTATTTCAGTTAATGCCTCCTTCAATTCTAACTGTGCATCCATGATTTCTGACTGTCCTTTTTTATGCTCTTGAGGCCCTCCTTAAGTTCACTGAGGTTCTCACTAAGTTCACTGAGCATCCTTATAAGCAGTATTTTGAACTCAGCATCTGTTAGGTTGCTTATCTCCATTTCGCTTAATTTTCTTGGGGTTTTGTTCTGTTCTTTTATTTGGGACCTGTTTCTTTGTCTCCTCATTTTGGCTGCCTCTCTGTGTTTGTTTCTGTGTGTTACTTAATGAGAAGTATGGGGCTATCTGAGATCAGATGCTGCTTGTTTGAAAGAATTTAGGAAAACCTGAAGCAGGATCCAAGACAGGCCAATCCTACGGTTAATCAAGTGGCAACAGCTTGGGTGGGCCTGAAAGTTGGGTGGGGTGGGGCCTCAGGGAGTCACCAGGGCGGGGCTACCAGTGTGAGCCAGGTTACTGGAGTCCCAAGTATGGCGACTGCCACCCCAGGGAAGGGCTCACCAAAGGAACAAAGGCCTCTGACAGCACGTTTGTCCCGGAGAAAGCCCCCTCTCCAGCCCTCGCTCCAGTGCCAAACAGCTCAGTTCTTCCCTGTATGTCTCTGGTACCCCTCAAGCTGCCTCCCCTCCAAGCTTAGAGGGAGAGAGTCCGATAAGTCTGTGCATGGGCCCTTTAAAGAGCTGCCTGTGGCTCCAGCCGTGTCAGCTTCCCTGAGCCTTAGTTCCTGCTGGTTTTTCCAGCCAGAATTATGGGGACTTCTCTTCCTGGCACTGGAACCCTGAGCGGGGCATCTGGTGTGGGATGGGGACCCCTCAGTCCTCAGGAAGGACCTTCCCAGCCGAGGTGTCCTCCTGATTTTTATCCTCCATACGTGGGTGTGGGACCAGCCCGTTGCGCCTCCGCCCCTCTCACCTCTGCGTCTCCTACCAGTCTCGATGTGGCTGCTGCTTTAATTCCATAGTTGTAGGACTTCCATTCAGCTTGATTTCAGGCGGTTTTGAATGACGGTTGTTCTGTAGTTTAGTTGTAACTTTGAGGTGGTTGTGGGAGGACGCGATACCGCATTTACCTACCCCACCATCTTGAAAATTACCTTTTCATTCTCTATTTCTTGATACGTCATGTCTGACTTAAAGAATTGTATACTCAACAGCAATAATAAATACCATCTGAATGGGAAAAGAAAGATATACCATGCTAATATACCAATAAAAAAAAAATATTTGTTATGGTTATTTAGACCTTTTAAAGTAGAAGTTGACCTACAAATTTCTTTTAAAATAATTAATCAAATTGAATGACCTAAAAGAGATAAAGATTCAATATGAATCATGTGACTGAAAAGAACCACTCTAATTCTTGATATCTTTTAATTGTGTGTGTGCACTTAAAAAAAGCTGACATTTTGAAATTAGACATCATTTAGTTAGGAATACCAATTAATCTCTTACAAAAACTGTTTCACCTACAGGACAAGAAATCTTAAAATCACAACTGCATTTTTATTTTAGTTATAATTTATCATTTCCCTCTTGCATGAATAGAATGGCACTGGGATAAAATAATTCTCTAGAAAACTATCTTCCCAGAGTGCGTCTACTAGACTTGAAACATGCTATCTAGGTATTTGCAGTTTAGAAGAATTTGTTTTGCAATTGAGGGTGGTGACACTTCCTTCTCCCATCATGTAGCTCTTGTTAGTCACTAATCAGCAATGGAGACTTGACAGTATTCTGAACGCTGGCTTGGGCAGGGTGGTAATCTCTTTTCTAGAGCTTCGGCTGCACCATTAACCCTACAAATTCTATAGCAGGTTTGATAAGACAGGACAGAGACTGTTGTGATTTAGGCATTTCCTGCTTTCTCTGACATCCTTTTAATGAGCTAATGAATTTCAAGTGCCTAGCACACTGGCAGCACTCCAAAACACCGCTTGCCTTTCCCCTGTCCTAATGCTAGTCCACATTCATGGTGCCAAGAATAATATAAGTATTTTAATCTCATTGGAATCCTTTAAGGTACAGCTATTGCTACTCCTCTGTTGCACATAAGGGAATGAACTGGCAGAAGTCACAAAATTTGCCTCAGATGATCTAGTTAATAAGTAACAGTACCTAGAATTCTGAAACATGACTTTGCCTCTGACATGGTTTGGTGGACTGTATCTTCAGCTAATCCACAGAAAAGACTACAAATCTAGAATTTTTCTTCTCTTAGTAACATGCAGCAACTTTGATTAAATAAAATAAAACTCTGTACATCTCTCTGCAGCCCACAGTACAGACACCAGTGATCTTACTGGCTGCCTGGAAATACCCTAGGAGGGATTGCATCTTGATATTAAAATAAAAAGAACCTGTAAGAGAACACTCTGGTGGCAATTCGTTTTAAGAGCTAGATCTCATTATGGTATTATGAGCTGAATTGTGTCCTTACCCAACCAAATTTATATGTTGAAGTCCTAATGCATAGTACCTCTGAATGTGACTATATTTGAAGAGAGGGCCTTTAAAAAGATAATTAAGGTAAAATAAGGTCATATGGGCTCGTCTTAATCCAATATGACTGGTATCCTTATAAAACAAGAAGATTAGGGTACACACACATAAAGAAAGACCGTGTGAAGACCCAAGAAGAAGATGACCATCTACACACCAAGAAGAAAGGCCCTCAGAAGAAGCCAACCATGTAAATACCTTGATCTTGAATTTCTAGCCTCCAGAATCATGAGGGGAAAAAAGTATGTTTAAACCATCCAATCTGTAGTACATTGTTTTGACAGCCCAGCAGTCTAATACAAATACTTACTAATATCTGAAATGAAAAGCTTTCCAGACTTTTCAAAGTTCCTTTTTAAAAATAAGAAATCTTGTCCAGAAAAACAAACAGAAATAGTTATAGTTCAAATCTAGTAAGAAAAATATTAAGTGATTTCACAAATTATTACTGAAATTTTGTTGCGCCCAATAGAACTCAACTGAGAGGATCAGTGATTAAGGACTTGACACCTTATAGTATTTGGTTTAGCTTGATGATGCTTATGGTAACAGTATTTGATTTGAAGGCAAATTGCAGATGCTTCCTGGATTTCATCACACAGCTACTGAAATATACTTACCATAGAAAGAATAAATCTTAGCAAATTCTCACTAAATTTGCTTTGGATGGACAAATGCAGTAGTGCCTGAGAATTATGGCAATGACTGCTGTTAAAATCAGAAGTACGTGTGAGACTAACGGAAATAGAAATTTCAATAAAGACAGAAAAAAAAAGACAGAACAAAATAAAATGTATCAAAAAACATTAAAGAGATTGTTTCCAACAAAAGTCCATTTGACTTTCAATTCAATAAATATTTTTAAATATGTTTTTATTGATATTTTAGAGAGAGAAGAAGTGAGAGAGATAGAAACATCAATGTGAGAGAAAAACATCAATAGGCTGCCTCCTGCATGTCCCCTACTGGGGATTGAGCACACAACCCAGGCATGTGACCCAATCAGGAATCGAACTAGGACCTCTCAGTCCATGGAGCCATGGTCATTCCATTGAGCTACACTGGCTGGGCTCAGTAAATATTTTTAAAGTTCATGCAATTTTACTGTAGAGGAAATTGGAATTTAGACATTAACCCTGACTCTAACCTTGAATACTTCTTGATATGATATGAGAAAAAAAGACACAGACACAAGAGCCAAAATTTTATGTAGTCTTTGATAAAATCTGCAATGAAAGTAAAAATTGTCATGAAATCAGAGAACAGTGAAGATCACTCTGGTTGGGGCATTGGATGTTTATGTCTGGTTTGGAAGTTGTGTAGCATTTACTAAGGTGGGGTTGCAGAGGGAGAAGCTTTCTAGGCATATGGATTAGCACAAGGAAAAACAAATGTTGTTGAGTGCCTCAGTGAAAAAGTAGGAATCTGAGAGGAAGTGTTGAGAGGACGAAGCCATTGACCCTGCACTTAGAGTTCAAGGACCTGGGTTCGAGTCTTGTGTTCCCCATTAACTAGATTTATAACTTTAGTCTCTCTGAACCTCAAATTGCTCATGTGTGAAAGAGAAATAATGACTCAAAGCTCACAATTCTGAATATTCAAGAGAATTCTACATCTAGCAAAGCATGATGTGAAATAAAAATTTAGCAAATGTTAGCTGATCCTAAGGAGGTTAGACTTGATTCTGTTGGAAACAGGATCCAATAAGATTTTTCAGCATGGAAGTAAGATGACCAGAGCTAGACATTTGGAAAGGTATTCCTGTAAAACTATGTGCAAAATGAATTAGAGGGCAGCCATTGTGTAAGAAAGAAGACCCATTAGGAAAGTGTTATTAACAATAGCACAACTTTGAAGCAATGGGGGCCTGAAGCAGGGTCGTGCTGGGGGAATGGGAAGGAGAGACTTCCATGGTAAACGACACTAAGATATGCACCCTGGGACATAGACAGCTGTTCAGAAAATTAGATCCTAGTCCTGTGGCTCTTTTCTTAGGTAGTGGTATGACCTCTACTGAGCTATGTCACCCCTGTGGATTCCAAGTTTGCTCATCTATACAATAAAAAGAAATTGGAAACTCTCTTAAGTATTCTTATAGCCCTAACCTACTTTGTGCCTATTTGAATCAATAAAATTCCAGTTGATTAGATGAAAAAGTAAAGAGCATGAGGGAGATAGAGAAATTGAAGATAACCTGATGCATAAAGCTTTAAACATGTTAGTGTGTCAGTTGATTATGTAATTTCTAGGAATATGGAAGAAAGGAAAATAAACAGGTTTGGGGAAGAATATAATGAATATCATTTCTAACAGTTTGACAGCTGTCCTTCAGACACTTAGACTTGAGGGTTTATGAATATTCAACAAATTATTTTATGTTATATCCTACAGCATGCAAACATTTGAAAGCAAATATTTTTTCTTTAATTTATAGATTCTTTTCATTGGCGATTCAACCAACAGAGGGATAATGTACTATCTGATTGAAAGACTGAACGAAACCTTGCAAGAATGGCAGAAGGTGCATGGCACTAAACTCTATCACAATGTCAATGGTGGGAAGACTTTGATCAGCTATTCCTACTATCCTCAGTTCTGGATAAGCCCTTCACTGAGACCAACGTTTGAAAAAGCACTTGAGCATCTCTTGCAAAGGTACAATGGAACTATTATGCACAGCATAATGCCACAGTGCACTGATGTTTTACTAGTGGTCATAATTGCTCACCTTATATCAAATGTGTTGAAAAGCTTAAAGCCTGGGTAATATGTCTGAAAAGGAGTTGGAAGTGACAAAGAGGTCCTGTGATCGGGATGCCAGATATGGTTCAATGAAATGTGAGGCAATGCTGTTAAAATATTTACCATCTGTTTCAAGGCAACATGTGTTGTTTTTCTTTCTGGATTTCAGATCACGTCCTCTGGAGAATTCGGGCCAGACTATATTGGTCGTTGGTGGTGTTCAGTGGCTTAATTCCAATCATCTGCAAATTATTCACAAGGTTTTGAAGAGGTACATTTCTGCAACAATAATTGTCATTAGTATTCTAAGTAAAAAAAAATTACTCTTGATGTGACTGAATTTTATCAAGATTTTATTTAAAGACCAACTTGTTTAGAATTAAGTACTTAAAGTCTAGTTTTAAATATTTCAAAATACCTTTGTATCCAATCACAAGATGGCTCTTCAGTATTCAAATTTACATTTACTATGGATAAAAACATTCCCACTGACATATAAAACTCTATCCACACAAAAAACAAATATACATCAAATCTATAAAATGATAAATTAATCCTATCTGCTAATTACCACATTCTAAAAGAATTTTACTGTATTTTTATGTAAACACAAACTTCTAGAAATATAATTGAATTTGTTGACCTTAGAAGTCTAATTATTTCACAGGGAAAACTTACTCAATATCCTTGTGATCATAAAAACTTTGGGAATCGGATTTCATCTGCCAGTGGATGGAGTGCATTTCTTAACACAGGTAAGGCCGCTTCCTCCAGGCCGTGACCCTCATGCTCCCTATCTTTGCTGATGTCTGAACAAGGATGAAAAGGTACCACATAATATTCAGCAACCTTTATAAAAGTCAAAGGAAATAATATACTTATGAATTATTATTTCAAATCAGTTAGAATTATTCCTGGAGATAAGGAGACCATAACCCATAATGTGTTATAAATGCTTTAAATTCATAAAAGAAGAAAGGAGGTGTCAAACTATGAAAAAATAAGAACTGTGGATATATGAGAGAGATTGTGCTTTGGGTATCTCCTTACTCTACGAATGTTTCATACACCTTTACAGGCTCATGCTGAAACCACAAATGAAATTGTTAGTATCAATGAATAGTTTGGGAAAGAGTGGCTTTTTTGAAGATGATGTCTGACTGATTGCTTTAAAAAATCATCTTTGAAGTAGTGTCATTAGTTTTTCCTCTGTTGTATACTCATAAATTAAAGGAATTAAAGGCTTTGCCAGTTCTTAGATAGTAAATTAGTCTCAACACTGAATAGAAGTCTCACAAAAAAGCAGAAAGACAACATCTGTAGGTAAGGGGACCAGCTATTCTTGTTCAAGCTAGGAGAGTTCTTGGCAGCTGAGTTTGTGTATGATTGTTCAGGGGAGCTCGGGAGCACGGGGAATTGAGAAGACAGGAAGCTGCCATTTAATACTTAAGCCAAGTGAGATTTATTTTTGTGTCAATGTTTAGTGCTCCTGGCTTTCCCCAGCACAGATTACACAACCACCCTCTCCTTTCTTGAAACTGTGTCTGCATGGATGCCAATTCTATGATACAAAGGTAGGAGAACTAGTAGAAAGTGGGCCATGTAGAGCTTCCAAATCCAGCCCCTTGGATTTAGGGGGGGTTAAGGAGTTGAGGTATTTAGCTTCTAGGGTAGCCTGAAGAGTTTGAGACTGTTGAGGATTGGAAGAGGGGTCCTTTGATCATTTTTGCTACGGGTTGAGTTGAATCTCCTTTAATGTTATCTGAAGGCTGCAGGTCAAGATTGCAATTTCTTCTTTAGGACTCTGGTAGTTCTACTTTGCTTCTTTGACTACAGCTCCTCACAGCAACTGTAGTACTTGTGGCTATTACTTATATTTAGGTTACTAACTGAATCAATTCATCTCAACAGACAGCAAACATTTCTTCAGCTCTTACTATGTACTAGATGTTGTGTTAAAAATCATGCTTCTCCCTGGGCTTTGATGGTGTTCACTGGTCCTTGTAAGTGAGTGAACACAAGAGGATGGGACAAAAGGGTGGGGAAAACAATAGAGAGAAAAGAAAAAGGCTAATAGCAGTAGAAGCAGAAAATATAGACTTCTTGTCTTATGCTCACTTGGCCATCCAAGACTTGGCCTCTGCTTTCCTCTGTAAACTATCTCTTGTTCCCACTATATATGTACACATGTACATAAAAGCACTTGCACAAACACACACACACACACTCTCACAACACCACTGAGCTCAGTCATGCTGAGCATGTTTTAGCTTGTCAAGCACGTCATGCTCTCAGTCACCTCCAGGTTTTTGAAATCACTATTCCTCTTCTTGGAGCCCACTCTCCTACCACCTCTTCACGTGGGTAATGTCCAAGCACCCTTAAAGTGTTAGTTTAAATGTTATTTCCTCTGAGAAGACTTAATGGGCACACTAGACTTGATTGTCTATTCCTACTATGAGCTCCTATAATACTGTCTTGTGTCTCATGCAAGTCACTCAACAAATACAATCCTTGGTTGCCTGTCTGCCCTGCTACAATCTCTGTGAGAGCAGGACCAGGAAGGGAGGATTTCACTGTTCATCCTGGTACCCTTAAGGCAACAAAGTTATCAACAGACAGTAAACTCAGAAAATATCTATGCCTAAATGAGTAAGTGGTACTTTGTATGATTTGGCTGCTCCCAGATTGCCCCTTCAGGACATTCCATTACTCTGGGCTGCTGGGAATGTGGCCCAATGATGACTCACACCTGAATCCCAGCAGAAACTGCCTTTTGCTGCAGAAAACCAACTTGCCTGTGCAGGGTACCAAGACTCATCCCTTTTTCTTAATTTGAGCCATTATCTCAGAATGTCCTTCCCACCTCTAGAACCCTCAGTGGGGTCCACAAAAGCCTCTTTTGCAACCACATCTTTCCCTTATAGGTAGGTGATGATTCCATGAACACTCTCATGCTAGTCCCCTGCATACGAATTTCCACCTAAGGGTCTATTTCCTAGAGAACTGACCTTTCTCTGGAAAACTTTCTCTAGAAACTACTTACTATAAAGTTCCATGGACCTTTCATAATTAGACATATTAGAATTGAGAAAATGCTTATACTGGACAAGAAAAGCCTACAAACAACATTGAGCATCATTTTTCATGTGATAGCTCAGACAAAATTTGCATCTGTCTCTTTTCTTCCATATTTCTTTTTTATGAACCTTTTCTAGTCACTATTTTTATTTTAAAGGAAACAGTCTTCTTTGAATGTCACATAAAAATAAGTATGTAAGCACAGTGAAGATAGAAAACTAGACATATTTGTACTGCTTCTTTTACCTTGCATTTGGATTAATAAATGGAAGTAATTTGCATTTTCACCTGGAAAATAAAGTTTTTTGTTCTTTAGGAAAAGCAGAGAGAGTGCAATTCCCTCTCTTTGTCAGGATGGGTTTGCCAAGAAAAGGCAGTAAGATGAGATTAGCAGGAGAAAGGGATTTATGTGGGAGAGTGCCTGGGAAGGCTGAAGGGAAGAGGAGTAGGTAAGAAGACTTTCAGACTCCAGCACCCAGTGTGTATCACTCAAACTTGCACCAAATATTTTTTGATCCCACTATGTATCAGGATCTGGTTTGGCTGTAATGTGTCTGATATGAAGGGTGTGGGAGAATGATGAAGTATATAGGGAGAGTCTCAGATAACAGGTCAGTCTGAAAAAGTCTTGGCCAAGCTGATGAGGAATCCTGGAGCTAGAGTACAGGAGTTCCTCCTCTTGACAGTAGACCTGAACCAGAACTCCCATGGAGCGCCATCCTTGCCTTGAGGAGGGAAGAAAGACTATGGCCCAGAGAAGCAGCAGCTGAAGCCAGCACCCAATTCTGCTGCTCCCAGAAGCACACTCCCTTCCTCTCCTTCCCCATCCCCACCCACTGAGAAACCTGTGTCTGCTCCAGAGCCACCACTGGAAGCCTCTCTGTCCAGCTGTCCCCTTGCATCTGGCAGAGCTATTTCCTTTCTCTACTAGCAAGAGCTTGGTATATTTGTCCACAATGAAAGGCTTGGTAAATGTACACATATCTGTTTCTCCTATTAGAATGTATTGTCTTAAGAGCAAGGAGCATGATTTATTTACTCTTGTATTCCTGTCCCTCAGCACAGGGATAATCATAAAACATATACTAATTAATATTCAAAGGAATAAGTGAATAAAAATCAAAATAGATAGAGATAACATTTGTGATTTTAGATCTTGGCTTTTAAATTGAGAATTTTCAATATTTCAAAGGATCTTTGTGAGCAATAAACCTAACTACTTTTTTTTTTCATTTAACATTTTTGTTGTTGAAAGTATTACAGATGTCCCCCATTTTTCGCCACTGACCTCCTTCCTTCCTGCTCCCACCCTCCTCCTGCCTTCCCTAGCCTAGTGACTATGCTGATTGGTTGTGCATATATGCATATAAGTTCTTTGGTTTATCTCTTCCCTCCCCTCCCTCTACCCCCCCCCCCCAATCCCTCTGAGCTTTGTCAGTCTGTTCCCTACTTTCATGATTCTGGATCTATTTTGGTCATCAGCTTATTTTGTTCATTATGTTCCACAAATAAGTGTGATCATGTGGTACTTGTCTTTCTCTAACTGGCTTATTTGGATTAGCATAATAATCTCCAGGTTCCTCCATGTCATCTCAAAGGGTAAGAGATCTCTCTTTATTACAGCTGCATAGTATTCCATTATGTATATGTACCACAGCTTTTTTTATCCTCTCATCTACGGATGGGCACTTGTAACTACTTTTTTAAAAAATTATTTTTATTAATTTGTTTTTGTTACAGATGTTTCTCCTCCCCCCTCCATTGACACCCTCCTCCCGATCCCCCCTACCTCATCCACAGCTTTGTTGTCTATGTCCATTGATTATGCATACATGCATATAAGTTCTGTGGTTTATCGCTTCACCCCCAACATCCCCTCTTCTGAGGTTTGTCAGTCTGTACTCTACCTCACTGGGTCAATTTAGTTCATCAGTTTGTTAATTCATTATATTCCCCAAATAAGTGAGATCATGTGATATTTGTCTTTCTCTGCTTGGCTTGTTTTGCTTAGCATAATACTCTCCAGGTCCCTCCCTGTCATCTAAAAAAATAACAGATCTTTCTTTCTTACAGCTGTATGGTATTCCATGTGTACATGTATCACAGCTTTTTTATCCACTCATCTACTGATAGATACTTGGGTTGTTTCCAGATCTTAGCTACTGTAAATAGTGCTGCTACGAAGATAGGGGTACATATATTCTTTCTGATTGGTGTTTCAGGCTTCTTAGGGTATGTTCCTAGAAGTGGAATCACTGGGTCAGATGGCAGTTCAATTTTTAACTTTTTGAGGTAACACCATAGTGTTTTCCATAGTGGCTGCACCAGTCTGCATTCCCACCAGCAGTGTACTAGAGTCCCCTTTTTTTCCACACCCTCGCCCACATGGGACTACATCAAATTAAAAAGCTTCTGTACCTCAAAAGAAACAATCATCGAAGTAGAAAGGGAACCCACTATATGAGAGACCATAATTGCCAATGATACATCAGATAAGGGGTTAATTTCCAAAACATATAGAGTATTCATACAACTCAAAAAAAGGAAGACAAAGAACTCAATTAAAAAAATGGGCAGAGGACCTAAATAGACACCTTTCTAAACAGGATATACAAATGGCTAAGAGACATATGAAGAAATGTTCAACATCACTGATCTGGAAACATCCCAAATGTCCATCAGTAGACGAATGGATAATAAAGCAGTGGTACATATACACAATGGAGTACTATGCAGCTGTAAGAAAGAAAGATCTTTTATCCTTTGAGATGACATGGAGGGACCTGGAAAGTATTATCCTAAGTGAAACAAGCCAAACAGAGAAAGACAAGTATCATATGATCTCACTTATTTGTGGAATATAATAAACATAACAGTCTGAGGAATGGGGTAGTCCCAGAGATGTGGAAGTGGGGTACAGACTGACAATCCCCAGAAGAGGAGGAGGTGGGGGAGAGATAAACCATAGAACTTATATGCATGTATGCATGAACAATGGACTTGGACAACAAAGCTGGGGACAGGGTGGGGAGGGTGGGGGAGGGGGAAATCAGTGAGGTAAAAAGGAGAAACATCTATAACAAAAATAAATTAATTAAATTAAAAAAGAAAGCTGGGCAAGTTTCAAACTGTATGTCACTGTAAATATTTAGGTATTGTTGTTTTATATATACACAGATGTTTATAATTATGTTTTGAATAAAAAAATTAAAGCACATCCTTATTTAAGAAATTTATGTGAAATAAATTCTTTATCTCAAAATAAGACCAATCTGTAAAAATGTTGCCCTTTACACAATTTCTTCCTGATTTATTAAATCATAAACAACACACTTAATAAAAATTCTCATTCTTGTGCTTTGCAATACAGAGTGAAGTTCAGAACTTGTGGAAAGAAAATTTGATTATTCTGGATACTGCAAAAAAATATGGCTATGAAGTGGTCGACACATTCACTATAACAATGGGGCGATACAAAGAGTTTTTGCAGGGATCCTGTGGATGCCATTTTCATGAGGTATTTATTCTGGCTTTCTGATTTTTTTAGATTTATAAATTTTTTAAATTTTTTATTGTTTTGTTTTTTAATAACATTATCAGTCTTATTTTTCATTAAAAAACCATGTCAGGAGGAGATTAAATGATGTGTTCATCATCACTCAGCCGAAGCATGTAGTAATCACAACTCGAGGCTGTACAGAATGAGTTGTTTTTATTTATTTATTTATTTTAACTCTTTTTTTAAAATTAATTAATTAATTTTTGTTAGAATGAGTTGTTTTTAAAAATAGTGCTTATGTAGACACTTGACAACTGGGATCGTTGTTCAGTGCAAGCATGAGGATGGCAACCCGGAGAGCATTTGCCTTGTCTAAGGGACTCTGAGCTCTTCCCAAGAAATTGTGTCCAAAGAGAGTGGCAGATGTCTTTAGTGGATGCAGTGTGAAAATCCAGACTATTTAATATGCTAAACTAATGAATGATCTTCCTCCTTTGGTTTAGCCAATGCACAATAGGAGGGCTTGTCTTTTGAGTCATTTTCTCCCCAGTGTTGAAAATTATGTTACTTGTAATTAGTAATTAAATAGGCTTAGCTGATAAGGTGATAACAAAAAAATAAATTTATCCACTTCCCTCTTGTCTTTTCAAGCCCTTCTGTGGATTATTTCCTCGCTACCACTTGAATCAAATCTTGTAAATTTCATAACTTAAAAACCACTTTCAGATAATAAAAGGTCCCCAGTCATTTTAAGGCATAAGAAGAACATCACTTCAGTACAAAAATTGCCCAGACCTGTGCTTATGCTCACATAAAGTTATTTCCTTCCCCTAGCTCAGAACTGCCTGGCTCTCGAAACCCTGAAGTGGGAGAGAGGGAGCAGGGGACTTTTTTCCTATTTTCCTACTTTGCTTTGCTACTTTTCTTCTCCGGCCCCTTCTTCATTGGGTCAGGTTAGAAGGAGATGTTAAGGGGAACAACAGTCTTACTTGACTGGCATAATCATAATCATCAATGTGCTCTCTAGGTATAGAAGGCTAATTCCTTCTTTTTTAGGGTGCCTTTGAAGACAGCTCCCACCAGGCCCCTCCAAAGACAGCTTCCTGGATAAAGGCCAATCAATGCTGCTCACGGCTGCTCTCCTTTCTTGGCCCTTTGACTCCTAATTGTCCATCACTCTGTTGGAAGGGGTCATGTTGCCCCTCCTGGCCTCCTCTTGGACAATATTCAAAATGGCACGATGTTTGTTATATTCAGTTGCTGACATTTGGTCCACAAGAAGCACCCATGCACCCTTGCTCAGCTGTTGCTAGAAATACAGTTAGTTCCCAGCCCAGCCCTCTCTCTTTTCTCTCTCTTTCCTGCTCTCGCTCTCACTTTCACTCTTACTCTCTTACTTTCTCTTTCACAGTAAAGCTGAACTTTAGCCAGTGTCTTATTCTAGTCCTAATGCTCCCCGACCCCCAAACAACACATGTCCATCTCTCAAAGTTGGTCTCTTGAAGCCCCCTCACACTTAGCTTGAAACAAGGGTGAAGCAGCTCTCCAAAAGGGAGGAAGACCACAAAGCATTTGGAAAAATTCTCATTCTTTCTTCATCTTCATTTCCCAATTCTTTTAATGAAACAAGGGTTTGCAAAACTGGATGCTGTCCACACTTTTGCACGATTTGCATATATTGTCCAGACATTGCTTTGGAATATGAAGTGACTTGGCTACTGTTTGCTCTAGGTCTCAGGAGCTTCAGCTGAAACTTCAAAGCAGAGTGTCTCTGATCATCCTGTCAGATATTGATTCACTCATTTATTGTTTTTTTTTTTTTTTTGCATGGCCTCTTTTGTAAACAAGGATTCAGTCTTTAGTGAGATGACAACTAAAGGTTTCTTCTAATCCTATTTTTTAGCCTTAAGATATCCTGGTCCTCAAATTTTTATGAATACTCAAAAGTTATTGATACTACATTAGTTCTTCTGTATGCTCTACTAACCATGTTTTTGTATAAAAAAATGGAACTGCATCTCAGAGAATTGAGGCCATGCACCCACAATAGAAATCATTTTAAGTTTTGATTTCGCAACATGGAGCTTTCCATGTTGTTGCAGACCAGATTTTAAGCTGTAGGATACTGTGTCTGCTTATTTTTTCCACAAGAAAATAAAACACCCTTAGGGTGCCTATCCTATTTGCAAAATGTCAACAATTAGAAACATAAGAGCAGGTAGCCTGGAAGAGGAAGAAATCATGAAATTGCAGCTGAGACAGCCCAGAATCAGAGTTGGCCACAGAAAACAAGCCAAAAGTTGCCAAACTCACAGAAAATGAGGACTTCAAAAGATCACATACAGATAGGTTTTTGTCTCTTTTAGGAGATATTTATTTACTTATTTTTGCATAATATGTCTTCAATTAGTATTTGGGAAGAGGATATCTGTTTTTCTTTTTCAGCTTTAGTGCTCTTAAAGTCTAAAAGGAAGTCCCTCAGTGATTTTCAGCATGGCTCCAATTAAAAACAGAAGATGCCCTTCCCACATGATTGCATTTCATGTATCTCCTGCCACAGTAACAACCAGTTGACACTAATAGTCATACAATTTGAGAATTACAAAAAAGACTCTGAATCATCAGAACTAGAAAACTGGCATATAAGTATTACTAACAAAAACCGTTGTTAATTGTGTAATAATGACAAGCATGTCAGGAAAAACTATTTCACTTATTTGATTTTATGATTTTTGGGTGTGCAGGAACCATGTACAAATTCTTTTTTTAAAAAAAACAAACACCTTATTTTTAATGTGTGCTGTCATGGAGGCAGGCTATATAGGTATGTTCCAAATTATCTCAGTTGATTCTGGAGCAGTGTTATCCATTCTGAAGTTTGCATGTTCAAGAAGAAATACTTCTAGGAGCATTAGCCTGTCTAGTTAGCATACGGGGATGATAAAATCATCTTTCTCAACTGACTCCCTTCATCACAAAGTCTCAAAACTCATTCATCACTTAACATCATTGTTGCTTAACTTTTGAACAATTTCTACCAGTTGTACTTTAGGAACTTTTTAGTTCTGACACAGATATTTATAATCTTTCAAAATCATCGCCCAACATCGTAAATCACCTTAGCTTATTATAAACAATCAAGAAAATCTAGTTTCTCGCAAAGAATGGTTTGATGAGCCCTGCTGGTATGGCTCAGTGAACTGAGCATTGTCCCATGGACTGAGAGGTCCCCGTTTGATTCCTGGTCAGGGCTCAGTCTCCAATAGGGGACATGCAGTAGGCAACTGATTCATGTGTCTCTCTCTCCAGGTCTCTCTAAAAAAATCAATTAAAAATATATATATATTTGTGTGTGTGTGTGTGTATAGATAGATAGATAGATAGATAGATAGATAGATAGATAGATAGATAGATGATAAATGTAGCAAGCCAGAAATGGTAGATTATTAGTCTCATACAAAATATGTTAAAGTGTAGAAATTCATTAATAATAACCATATTTTCCCCTGTGCTCAGCTACGAGTTGGCAAAGGAACCTGTCACACAGTAATTGCAAGAATTAAAATCAGCTGTATTAGAGCTAAGAATTTTAGTTTGGGAGCCTTGTATCTTCTGGTGTTCAATTAAACCATTCCCACAATCTATTCACAGATACCTGAGAAGGACTGGTATAATCATTACAGTAAGATATTGATGTGTCCTCTTTGATTTGTGGTGAGAATTTGATCATAGACATAACAAACCTACTCCAGTGGTCTCTTGTTGCCATAGGTGAGATGAAAGGCCTTGGGCGTCTCTTTCATCTGTCAAGGCACCAAAAGAGAATACGTTGCCACCATGAATCTATAAACAATTTCCCAACTGGTGTGCATCAGTTTTGACTAAAATGTTCCCGCAGATGAGAAAAGCAGGTGTATCTCTTCATGGGTAGAAATGGAATTTTGTTTTCTCAGAGTTTATGCAGAACAACAAACAGGATCCAGATAGCTCTTGCCCAAGAGTGGTTTTCAATGGTGCTTTTAGTTATGTGGCAAACTCCTACTGTCAACAATCTAAAACCTGGAAAGAATATAAAAATATTATCAGCCCAAACCTAGCTGCAGAAGGCGAAAATCCACAGGTAATTATTATGTGATTATTAATAAGTCTATTCCAGCAATTGTTATTAATAAGTCCATTCCAGCAATTTTCAAACTTTTCCATCTCATGGCACACATAAACTAATTACTAAATTCTGTGGCACATCAATTTTTTTTTTTTTTTTTTGCCAATCTGACAAAATAATATATATAATTTTGATTCATTGTGTTGGCTATTGTCATTTTTTTTTATTTGACAATCTAAGAGAAACCTGACTAAATAGTCAGATATTGCATGTTTTAAAATTAGTTGTGGCACACCAGTTGAAAATCACTGGTCTAATCAGTTGTACAGACCTCATATGATTATCTCTGTTTCCTGGCAGATGTAACTTATACCTTTTGACTCAGCAAAAAAGAAAAGAAAAGCCCTTGGCATTGCCACACAGCACCGATGCCAGCAGGTTTCCTTGGATTCTGGCACATAGAAAGAAGAGGTTTTCAGTTATTTGTCAGAGATGATTTTCCATTATTATTTGATCTTTATTTTATACTTATTATTTAATCTTAATGAAACAAACAAAAACTCATCTGGCCTAGAAATGTTTTCTTTCTGTATTATGGGCCTAAAGTTTTTTCTTTCTATTTCAGACTTTAAAAGTTTACCATAAATATGCTGAAGAAAAAGGTCTTTAATTTTATCTATTAAAAAAACTGAAATAATGACTTATAGAGAAAAAAGAACAATTGACCCAAACAGGGTTAGCTTATTTATATAGCAGATACCAGAATTTAACTATCAACATGGCTATTTTTAATAAATTAGTACATTGTAATGGCAATATAATTCATCAATTTTTTCAGTGTCTATGTAAGCACCATATGAACTGCTATAAAATAAGGCAGAAAAGAAATTCCCATAAACATCTCAAACTAAAC